GAATGATGGATTCCATGAGACTTGTTTTAAATGTGGAGTACAACACATACGGCCATCACTGGGAGCTCAATGAAGGCCAAGTCTACCCGAGGACATCAGCACAGTGGCTGGAATAAAGCAAGTGTAGTGACAGAACGGTCACTACTGTGTTGGCCCGTACGAGGGCTGGGGGCCCCAAGGGGGTGCCTGGGGGGTCACGTGCTGGAGGGATCCGGACCTTCCCAGAGGTGGGGGAAGTGAGGCGTGGCCTGGGAAGTGAGGCGTGGCCTGGGAAGGGAGGCGTGGCCTGGGCGGAGCCGGCCACGCCAGAGAGACGAGATATAAGCGTGGTGTGAAGGCAGAGCAGGGCTGTTCCTGAGAAGAATGAAGACACCTCGTGAAGATGCCAGAAGAGAAGACCTACAGTGAGCGGACTGCCAGCAGCCACCTGGCTGGGTCACGCTGGAGCGGCTAAAATACAATTGAGTGTTAGCTAGTGTAGGTCGGTGGTCACCACCCTATGTGTAGAGTAAGAGTAACTGTTGAGTAAACGTTGTGTTAATTAATAAATGAGTGTTGCCTCCCAAGAAGTGTGTGCGCTTAAATTAAACCATTACATTTGGTGTCAGAAGTTGTGGAAAAATAAATATTGCTAGGTGTTATCCTAGGGAAGTAAAATGGGCACACGAAAAACAAATACAAAACTCATCTGGACGTCTTCGTACGACGGGGATGGTGTGACGACCGTCCTTCGGACAGCCCCGGGGATGGCAGCCCCGGTGACAGAGAGAGAGAGAGATGGCGCTGCACGCGGAGCGGCGGGACTTGCATCGCACTGCTGCTTCGCCGCCATCGGGAACGGAGCGGCTGGTCGGGGCGCGGTTCCCGCCAAAACGCCGTTCCCGCCATTTCGGCGGCTGGTCGGGGCGCGGTTCCCGCCAAAACGCCGTTCCCGCCATTTCGGCGGCTGGTCGGTGCGCTGTTCCCGCCAAAATGCCGTTCCCGCCATTTCGGCGGCTGGTCGGGGCGCTGTTCCCGCCAAAACGCCGTTCCCGCCATTTCGGCGGCTGGTCGGTGCGCTGTTCCCGCCAAAACGCCGTTCCCGCCATTTCGGCGGCTGGTCGGGGCGCTGTTCCCGCCAAAACACCGCTCCTGCTGCCGAAATGCCGCTCCCGCCGACATCAACGCCTGCGGAGGGGGAGTTCCAGCCTTCTGCTCGAGCGCGAGAGGTGGATGGGTTCGCAAGAGCAGGCCGTGTTCACCATCAAAGATTCTTCGGGCCGTTCCAGTGCTCCACCTTGCCGCCCTCCGCTATTCACAGTTTGCCAGGCGAGTTGTGACTTGACAAGCACCCGGCCCCAATAAAAATAATAATAATAACTTCACCCATCTTGCGTGTGCCGGGTTGCGATCACGGGTGTTTTTTTTTTACTCGCTGGGTTGCGGAACGTGTTCGTCCGGTTGTGTGCGTGAGAAATTGACGCGGCGATCAGTGTTTGTTGTTAATTACGGCGTCGAGATCGGTATCTTCTGGGGGTAGTTAATGATTAATTCGTTGTTGGTGTCCCGAGCTCCGTTGATATCCTGTATGTTGCCGTGTTAATGACTCGTGTTGTTACATCGTTGTGTTGCGAAATCGCCATTGTTATTGTGTATACTGTATGGAGTTTCGCTCGTGATTGTCACTTGTAACTGTCAGAAACTTTGATCGTCATTGTTGCCAATGTACAGACCGTATGGAGCTTTGCTTGAAATTGTTAACAGTGTATGGACTGTTGGGTACTTGCTGGTGATTATTTACTATGTACGGATTGTCTGGAGTATTGATTGTGTGTGTTGCCATGTGGGGACTGGATGGAACATTGCGCCAAATGATTGACTGTACGAACTTCGTATACTGCATATGCTGTATTAATCAATTCGGCGATTCTTGGCGTTTGTGTATAGTTTTTTTTAATTCGAATGCCCTGAGTCCCATGGTTAATGTTGAAGGGGATTTTGAAATTACAGGTTCGGTTTGTTTCAAACTCACTGGTTGGTTCCTGTCCGTTGTTGCACAGATGATGTCTTTTGTGCGGGAATGCTCCTTGTGTTCTACATGGATCGGGGGTGCGTTTCCGTTAATTGCCGTCAAATTGCGTTGCTCTCTCCACTCGGTTGGTACAGCTGCATTGCTGCAATGCGAGTCTCGGAGATGATGTGTACGGATACGGCATGTGAGGTGTATTGTTGTGACCATTGAATATTCGGGATCGTCACAAATTGTGCGTACCTGTTCGGCATTGGATCAGTTCTGTGGGGGATCATAATTCAAATTGTATGTGTTGTGATGGTGTTAAATTGCGATGGTGACATGCTGCCAGGGATTTGGAATTGTGGTGCTGGCTGTCACTTATCTTGGGGCGCAGATCCTGACCAGGATGGCCCAGTGAGTGTTGCGTGTCTAACATGAACGTTGTGGTCCCGTCATGCAATGGCTGACGGCTTGACCTGACAGCCCGGAGATTGAAACACTCCGTGGTATGTCTAGCCTAGTGGGCTGTGTGCTCACGTGGCTCGGAGTGTGTGGTCCCGTCATGCAATGGCTGACGGCTTGACCTGACAGCCCGGAGAGCGAGACACTCTGTGGCTTGTCTAGCCTTGTGGGCTGTGCGCTCACATGGCTCAGGGAGGGTGGTCCCGTCATGCTATGGCTGACAGCTTGACCTGACGGCTCGGAGGTTGAGACCCTCTGAGGCGCGTTGAAACAGTGGGCTGGAGATTCGTAAGGTTCGGGTGGAGTTGGCCTGTTACGTTGAGACTGTTTCCCTCAGTTGTTAGGGTGCATGTTGTGCAGTGAGTGAACGATGGATCGTCTCAGCTCGGTCGGTACAGCTATATGCTGCGATGCGAGTCTGGGAGAGAGACTGGGTCGTCTCAGCTCGGTCGGTACAGCTATATGCTGCGATGCGAGTCTTGGAGAGAGACTCGGTTAAAATTCCACCGATATGGCCTACGTGTGCTACTGGTTGCGACGCCGCGCGGTAAGGCGGTGGGGTGGTAACAAGGAAATCCCCCCCCGATATGGCCGACGCGTGCTACTGGTTGTGACGCCACGTCGGAAAGGCGGTGGGGTGGTAACATGGAAATTCCCCCCCCGATATGGCCGACGCGTGCTAGTGGTTGTGACGCCACGTCGGAAAGGCGGGGGGGTGCTAACGGGTGACTGTCATTGCATGCGTGATTCTAACGGTGGGGGGGCTGTGATGGAGCGTAAGTGGGTTAGCCGGTTTTCATGTATATTTGTTGTTAATTCCCCGTTTTCTATGCGGTTCCCTTTTACCCTCGTCGATTCTGTATATATTACGTGATTGTATTTCTTATCGGTCGCCGGTCATTTATTGATGTTGCTGGTTCGGAGGCACACCTTTTCGATGTTCACAGTTGTGTTACAGCCGGGGACGGCTGTGTGTTTATACAGGGGGGGGTGATGTAGTGACAGAACGGTCACTACTGTGTTGGCCCGTACGAGGGCTGGGGGCCCCAAGGGGGTGCCTGGGGGGTCACGTGCTGGAGGGATCCGGACCTTTCCAGAGGTGGGGGAAGTGAGGCGTGGCCTGGGAAGTGAGGCGTGGCCTGGGAAGGGAGGCGTGGCCTGGGCGGAGCCGGCCACGCCAGAGAGACGAGATATAAGCGTGGTGTGAAGGCAGAGCAGGGCTGTTCCTGAGAAGAATGAAGACACCTCGTGAAGATGCCAGAAGAGAAGACCTACAGTGAGCGGACTGCTAGCAGCCACCTGGCTGGGTCACGCTGGAGCGGCTAAAATACAATTGTGTGTTAGCTAGTGTAGGTCGGTGGTCACCACCCTATGTGTAGAGTAAGAGTAACTGTTGAGTAAACGTTGTGTTAATTAATAAATGAGTGTTGCCTCCCAAGAAGTGTGTGCGCCTAAATTGAACCCATTACACAAGTACCACCTGTGGCAGCGCACACACCTGTACTTCAGCGCTTTGGACAAGGGGTTGGTGGGTGACGCATATTTAATCATGCGCCGTGAAACTAAAAAACACGCTCGGCAGTGAGATGGGCAGAATATAGCAGCGCAGCAAGTTGGATTTCGGCTTCTAACGTTATTGTCACCCCTACGCAATGCTGGGTTTAATCAAGGCAAATAATCATGGAAAAACAGATCTCCGGACTCACTGAGGCAGTCTTAGACAAGAGGCATTGCGATTGTTCGTTGTAATTCAGCCCAGCACCGCAACCACCACCTGCCGCTGGAATGTTCAACTTCCACTTGCTCCTAGCTGCCAACGGCGATGACTTCTACCCCCTGCTCATATGAGCAAGGAGGAGGTACTTTGGTTTGAGTTAGATGCGTTCTGTCCCACTGTTGCCTGTTTCACCATACACATCGCTCTGACGTTGTTTGTTCTTGTTCTTTGCTACTGCACTGTGGATCTCTCATGCTAAAATAGCTGGGTAACTGGCTAAATGGGACTGTCCGTCTAACAAATAAACAGGAAAGCCTCTGTGGATGGCGAGGCTCTTTCTCAGGAGGGTGTCCATACCGTTCTTGGGCCGTGACCTCATCCAGGGCACATTGCCTCTGCTGCAGCAGAAACTGCAGCTTGCGGATCTTCTGTTCATACATCAGCCGCTTCTCTGCCGTGTCCCCCTCCTGCTGCTTCAGACTCTGGGAGAGCTTCTCCATGCTGACCAACATCTGCTTATTGGAGTCCTGCACAAAAACAGACACATTGCAAGTTTTGTAACAATTGCCTTTTTACTTTTTTCCCCACCACATTATATGCCAATTGTGCTATGGGTGTCATATCGTGAGATCAAGACATCTCCATTTCAGAGCTCTTGCAGTAAGAAGTGCATTGCCTTGTATCAGAGAACAGACCCCAGAAGGCAACACCACACAGCGGAGATAAGCACAAGCTCCCGAAATACTTCTAAAATCACTGCACAAGCATGCAGTTATTGATGATTTGGCTGAGCCAATCTACTCATATCGTACGTGAGAATCCGGTTTAATATTGGGTGGATGCCCTGCATTGAACTCAGAAACACTGCAGTGCTTGCTCGGTGCTCTGATTTGGTATTGGAAGCTGAGTTTCCCAGCCTAACGTTATAGTGTGATTCTGATATTCAACAGACACTATGTTGCAGTCGTAAATCTCCCTCTGTGCATGACGTTGTTTCCCCATAAATTCACCATTAATAACATGCAGTGGTGTCCGGTTGGCAAATATATGGGTGAGGCACAGAAGCCCACGGGGGAGGAGGGGGAGTGTTTACAGTTTATAATCTTTATAATGAGCAGGTCACCCCTGGAACTTAAAGAGAAACCACCACTGCTAGCAAGGGGTTAAAACACAGCGTGACCGTACAGGTGTACAACGGCCGAAAATATAAGGTTAAAATAATCTTTGGTTTTTCGGTAAAGTCACATAGGTAAAAAATAAAATAAATGAAAACAACTAAATTAAATCACGACGTTTCGGGCACAACACAAGCATCCTTCTTCAGGTGGGGACAACGTAGCGAAAGCTGTGACGAGGAATTATATAGTCGTTATAATTCCTCGTCACAGCAAAAACGTCGTGATTTAATTTAGTTGTTTTCATTTATTTGATTAGCTTTTTTTACCTATGTGACTTTACCAAAAAACCAAAGAGTATGAATCATTGCAGTCACAAAAGCTTCAAATCTAGAGTTAAAATAATCGTTGCCGAACACAAGATCTGTTCAGTGTCCGTGATGCTGCTTGATGCCAAAGGCACGGTTAAACTCGACCCAGTGGTAATAGAGGAATCATTATTGTGTAGGTCCGTGTGCGCTCTGTCACACATTGCTGACATTTTCAGTGGTCCCCCGCTGGTTGTCGTGTGTGCTGAGAAACTAGGAAATGTGTGATCATGGTTGTGGGCGCACACTACCTTTAGAGCGAAAGTAATTTCCATCTTCAAAGCGAAGGGAATGCAGCAAATACATTTTGTTGCTTTACTTTAATGTGCTTCATAGTTCATTAAAGAGTATGCAGAATATAATTTGGATACGAATCATTTACATGCAAGCACACATCAATGTTTCAAATCGCATGTATATACCACAGTGTAACATTTTTTTTAAGTCCTTTGTTAAACCACAATTAGATGAAGACCTCCCCATGCTGTATCAGTTATGGAGGTTGTTTGACCATACTTCACCATGCTGTCAGTGTGGGTTGGTGAAGGGGGACCCAGGACCAGATCAGATATCACTTGTAACTGATGTTAGCTGAGAATCACTCAGGTTACCATTTTTCATTACTCTACTCTCCGTAAAATTAAACTAAAAACCCTATGAAGCTTTTTTTCCAAAAGGCTATATATTTTAATACACAAAATATGAGCCAATTTCATTTTTTTATGAATTACTTGCAAATTTCTTGATTGGTGAAACCCATGCGGTGACATTTCCCCCCCGAGGGATCGACTTAACCGTGGCCGTAGTACCTACGGCACAGTAATCTGTGCTCAGGGATGTTAATCAACACACATGAAAAGCGGTGATTTCAAGTGGCAGTGAGCGAGTGTGGGCCGGCTCTCACCTGTAACTTCTCTGGCTGTTCACCGTCATCGCTGCTCCTCTTGATCAATTCCTTCAGCGTCAATCGGTATTCATCAGCGATGGTCTTTGCCTGCCGAGAGAGCACAGGTGTTGCTCGGGTGTGGGTGAGATTCTGGTGTAGGGTAGAAGTGAGACTCGCGCTGAGTGACAGTGTCGTCAGTGAAGGTGTTGACCATGACGACGATGACATTCAATGATAATTGGTTCTTTACCCTTCTATCTGGCAACAAAACTGACACCTTTTTGCAAGGAGTCATGTTTGTGTAATAAAAGGACTCGAACACTTCTTTCTGTCTTCGTGTCTTTATTCAGGTTCACGTCTTTACCCACACGGCACTCTGTTATAACTCCTGTATTTGTAGCCCCCGGCTATTCACTGCTATTATAGCTTCCTCACCCCTCTGACTCTCTGCTTCATCTACTGTAACCTCCTCCCTGCAGACTTGCTGCTACCCCTATGTGCAGACCCTCTGGCTGTCACTGTATGCAGACCCGCTGCCCACTCTCTCTGTGCAGCCCCGCTGCTGACTGCAGCCTCCTTGCTGCTTCGGGTCGGTCACCGCTGGCCAACGGTGCCGATCCACGCTTCCCCCGTGTTCGTGGCGATCTCGCCACACCCCGCTTCGCCCTACGTGGCCTTCCTCTGTTCCTGGCTCCCAGTCACTCCCCCTGCTCTTCCGGTTCCCCTCCTTCTATACTCAACCCCTCTCCCCCCACGTGACCTAACTCCTCCCCCCCTGACGGCACCTCAGAAGGGCCGTTTACAACCGCATTACATCACCCTCCCCCCTAAAGAAAATCCAGCCGACCTCGGCTGAATTGCAACCTGAAAAGCAATGCGGGTGTAAAGGGCCAACACGCAAAAAGACACGAAGCATTGAAGAACATTATAACAATAACACAACACAACACAATCTAACGAAACGTGAGGGATTTCGAGCGAGTACGGGTAGCCGGGCCGTCCCGGACGGTCGGCGGCCCACCCGCCGAGCGGGAACGTGGAAGGGTTTTAGGGGCGACGGGCGCAAGTTCTTCCGTCGCCATTGGAGGCCCGCCACTGTCCCGCTCGCGTCCAGAAACATCCCGTACTCGCGTCCGCGGAGGGATAGGAAGAGCTGCAGGTCCCGTGGGTTCTGCGGCTCCGGTCGGCGTCCCACAAGCGGAAGGTCCTCCTCCCTGCGCTGTCACGGCCGGCTTGTCTGTGAAGGGTACGACAGGCGCTCTCGCAAGGTCAGCAGACACAGGCAAGGGCGAGTCGGCAGCAACAGACCCCGGCAAGGCAACTTGGGGAGATGACGCATCCGGCCGTGGGGCAATGTATGGCTTCAACCGGGACGTGTGCACGAACCAACGCCGTGCACCAACCTGAACACGCGCCGACTGTGGGTTGGGAACCTCAATGAGGCGGACCGGACCCTGCCAAGGTCGATGTAATTTAGGAGATGTACCTGGCCGCACCTGTGGGCAATGAAGCCAGGCCAGGTCCCCCTTTTTCCAGGGACACTCCCCCTTTGAACGTCGGGCACACCGCTCATTCCTGGCCTGAGCCTTGGCAGTAGCCATGCGGGCATTTTCCCTCGCCTCAGCGACACGCCGAACGTTGTCCTTAATATACTCAGGAAGAGGCTTAACAGGCCCCCTCGCACCGGTTCCCAACTGGTCATGAATCGGCGGCACGTTCTCACGGCCGTACATAAGGAAAAACGGCGAGTATCCAGTAGCCGCGTGCGGCGTCATGCGATACGCCGAAAGCACCCCAGGGATATGCAAATCCCAATCAGATTGGTTTTCCCCGACTGTATGGCACAGCATGGCGGACAGAGTCCGATTCAACCGTTCCACCATACCATCCGTTTGCGGGTGGTAGGGGGACGTCCGTATCTTTTTAGTTCCAAGAGCCGCACACACCTCCCCCAACAATTTAGACGAAAAGTTACGTCCCTGATCCGTAAGGAGCCTCTCCGGAGCCCCTTTGTCCATTACATACCCAAATAGAAAGGCGTCCGTGATAGACGCCGCTGACTGGTCAGGCAAGGGCCAGGCCATCGGCCAGCGAGAGAGGTACTCCACCCCCACCAGTAAATACTTATTTCCTTTAGCTGATGGCGGAAAGGGTCCCAAAATATCTAACGCCACCAACTCATTAACCCGAGATACTTTAATCGATTGTATCGGCGGAACATATGGATGTTTAGGCGGCTTACGGCGGGCACAATCGGGACACGCGCGAACGTGACCGACGACATCCGTCGTCATGCCGTGCCAATAATAGTCTCGTTGCAGCGTCAATAGGGTTTTCTGCACCCCCAGGTGTAAAAGTGTGTCACAGTGCAAAGATCTAATCAACTCATAGCGCAATGACGCAGGCACAACGAGACGCCAGTGTTCCTGTATCCCTTCCCTCCACATCAGTAACCCATCTCGGAGAGCAGTTTCCGAATTACCACCCGCACCGACTTCCTTACCCGCCTTCTCCGTTCGTTTCCGTAACGACACCAAAGAATCGTCCAACATTTGCTCCCGAATCCACACAGACCTTGGAAGACGCAAAATCCCGTCAGCCGGTCCCCCTTCAACCGGTCCCGGTGTAAGCGGAGGTTCGAGAACATCCACTGCCCGCGCGACAGGCTGAGGGGGGGGCTGAGCCGGTCCACACCTATGCGTCCCCGACGCACACGCACAAGGGGATTGTTGCGGCAACCTGGACAGTGCGTCCGCGTTAGCGTGACGCACACCCTTCCGATGGTGAATTTGGAAGGAGAATTCTTGCAACGTGTCCAGCCATCTCGCCAATTGTCCGGATGGCTGGTCCATCTTAAGAGCGTACTGCAAGGCCGCATGGTCCGTTCGGACAATAAACGACCGACCGTACAGATACGGTCGAAATTGGCGGAGAAAATACACAATAGCCAAAAGTTCCCTGCGAGTGACGCAGTAACGAGTTTCCGCGGGAGACAAAACCCGACTCCCGTACGCCACCACACGCTCAACACCACCTTTTGACTGGGACAACACCGCCCCAATCCCGGTGTCACTCGCATCAGTATCCAGAATGAAGGGATGTTCAAAATCCGGATAATCCAACGTCGGCACAGTAGCCAGTAGGTCGCGCAGGCTCCGAAACGCCGCCTCCTCCGGCGGTCCCCACACAAATTTGTGCCCCTTCCCAGTAAGGAGATGCAAAGGCCTGGCGATAGTAGCGAAATTCGGAACAAACCTCCGGTAATATGAGGCGAACCCCAAAAACCGACGCACATCACCCACCGTGGCGGGGGTTGCCCAATCCCGGACACACGCAGTTTTCTCTGGATCCGTGGCCACCCCGTCCGCACTAACAATATGTCCCAAGTATCGAACGGAACGTTGCAGTAGATGACATTTCTTAGGCTTGAATTTCAAATTAGCAGAACGCATTCTGGCAAAAACGGCCTCCAACCGCAATAAATGCTCATCAAATGTGCGGCTGAAGACAATAATATCATCTAAATAAATGAGACATGTCTCCCACTGCAACCCCGTCAATACCAACTCCATCAATCTCTGAAAGGTGGCAGGGGCTGCATTCAACCCCATCGGCAGACAGTTAAATTGGAACAACCCCTGCGGCGTACGGAACGCTGTCTTTTCCCGCGAGGGCTCGTCAAGGGGAAGCTGCCAGAAGCCCGAAGAGAGATCTAGCGTTGAAAAAAACTTAGCCCCTGACAAGGCGTCGAGAGAATCGTCCATACGCGGCAGGGGATACGCATCTGCCACCGACACTTTATTTAACTTCCGAAAATCCACACAAAATCGTAATTTACCATCTTTCTTTTTAACCAACACGACAGGCGCACCCCACGGGCTATTAGACGGAGATATAATATCCGCTTTCAACATGTCTTCCACTGCCCCTCGAACGTGCTCACGCTCAGCCGGACTCATCCGACGCGAGTTCAAGCGGATAGGGGCCGCGTCCCCCGTTTCGATGTGATGAGAGAGCAGCGAGGTGTGTCCCAAGTCCAAATCGTCCGAGCTAAACACATCGGAATAGCTCGCTAATAATTTATGAATCGCACAACGCTGCTCAGCGGAAAGGGCCGAATTTTCCGCACATAATTCGGCGATCCAACGATCGTCCACCCCTCCGTCGTGTGAAACACCACCCACCAGCCCCCCGTCCGGAATGTCACTCTGAGCCGTAAACGCCGTAGTGGCGTGTGCCACAACGGTACCAGCCGGCACACACACGCTTTCAGAAGTCGCATTTAACACCTGCAAAAACGGGCGCTGATCCGGACGGACAATGGTTTGCGCCCCCACCAGTGCCAATCCGCCCGTAACAGCGGCGGACGGCGACAGCAAAATTCCACAAGCACTCTGCCGACCCGGAACCGGCTTCCGGTATCGTAGGGGAATGAGCATCTGCGAGCCAGGTGGAATATCAACTGAAACTTCCGATAACGCCTGCACCTGGGCAACCGGAGCCGGTCGCCCCCAGGTGGACTGTAAAAACGCCAATTTGCGGCCCCCTGGCAGTTCAATGCAATTTTCATTGATTCTAATTAAAATGGGCATCTTAGCCAAAAAATCCGTGCCCAACAAGCAAGGAACCGCCAGGGACCTCGAAATTAACACAACGCCCGAGGCCGAGACCCCCCCGATAGAAATATTAGCGTCCACCTGTCCCACGATGCCCATACTACCCCCGTTCGCAGCGATGCAGGAAGCGTAAGCCGGCCTCACGGCCCCCGGTGGGATGTTCAAAAGATGGAATATGACATCCGAAATAATGGTCGCGGACGCCCCGGAATCCACCAAAATACGCACGTCCACCCCTTGGATCGACCCCGGTACAGTGGACGAACCTGTAGCGGCCGCGACAACCCGCCGAGCCAACTTACGCCACTGCGTTATCGAGCGACAAGGCGCAGATACTGGCCTCCCATATTTTAGAACATCCGCGTCGCACAACAACGGCGATGAGTGAGGTGTCAGGCCTTGCCGGGTGTCTGGTGCGCACCGACTTGCCTGTGCCGGAGGGTCTTTCTTTGGGACGTCCGCGATCGAGGCCTCCTGCTGGGGCGGCCCCGG